TGGTACCATCGGAATTTTAACTCTTCGCTTGCTGTCGAAGATGGGAACGGAGCTCTTATGGGGGTGTCCTGAGTGATGTGATTCTTAATTCAACATTCAACAGACTATGATTGAGACCTTCTGCTGCTGCTGCTGCTAAAGATCTGGATGAAATGAAGAAATAGTTAGAAAGGCGTAGCTGAATCCTGCAAAATGATGAACCAAACTGTCACTCAAGCCGCTCGAGAATCATCATCATCATCATCATCAGTTGCCTTGCCGACTGGCGTGGGCGATCATGCCTCTCCATAATCTGCGATCTCCTGCAGCATGTATCAGTTCGGGTGCCGACACACCTCCATGCCATGCAACAAGACTGTCAAGCATCTTCTCTCTTTGTCTTCCTCTATCCCTTTTTCCACAGATCTTTCCAGTGGTCATAACATGTTCTATTTTATCACCCGTAGAACATGATGCTCTCTACCGGACGAGGTGATTCCACTGGAATCCCCATTCACGTCGTTATCTGAATACGTATTATTTTGAGGCATGATTTTCTTGGGATAGTACAGCGGTGGTTTCCCCTTTCCTTCCGCCGGTTTGTATATGGTTTGACTCCAATAGCCTTTGTCTAAATAGACTTACCCTGCAAGGCAGCAGGAGGGAGAGGTTATGGCCATGTCGTAGAGTTTTGAGGTATTTTATAGAGTTAGCTGTCCCACCAACTAACTCGCCTCCTCTCAATGACCATCACCTGTTTTGGTCCACGGCCACTTATTCAATATATTTATGGCTAACCTCTATATCTAGAGGCCTTTCCACCATCCGCCACCTGGTGGACGCGCCTAGTAGTAGGACAGGCTCTCGAGAAGCACAATACAAATACTGAAAAACCCAACACTTGCCTACAGCCCGTTACTAACAGTGTGACGACAACAAGGAGACCAAGCAATGCACACCAGTAGTGTGTGCAAGAAGCCATAATATCTCAACAAGGTGCTTCTCGGTGCGGCCTTGGACAGATCACGGCGGTAACAAGATGGTGTCCAGTCATTCAAATGATCATTAACGCGATGAAAGGCGCGGATTTGATTCTGCCATACCTTCTCGTGTTGTGGCTTAGTTCTGTCGTTGTGTCTGGTTATGAGGACCTCAGGGGTGAGACAAGTTCTATAAAAATTACCTCCCTTACAACTTTTTGTAAGTTAGGGGACATAATGTAACGGTATCGGTTTGAGATTTGTAAGTATTTTTGAGGTTATTATTTCCGAGGAAGTAGGGAACAGATATAGTAAGTTTTATATTTGCTAAGGTAAAAGAAACACTGAACAAAATTGGGCTCTACTGGCAAATTTGGCCGGTAAGCTGGACTGCTTCGGCCGGCTTAGTGGGGCTTCGTGGGAGTTACGTCCCTTGGCAAAACTCGAAACAACTCAAAACAAGTGGCGGAAAAAGTCACGAAACAAATGACATACTTACCTATCATCATCCGGGTGCGTGTAGGGTTGCCTAGGGTGTCTATCATCGTCCTACGGTTGCGTGTAGGGCTGCTTATTGCGTGTAGGGGGTTAGGGTTAGCGTTTAGGGGTTAGGGTTAGGGTTTAGGGTTTAGGGTTAGGGTTTAGGGGTCTGGTTCGATGTGGAAATTTTCACGTAACAGGTCGAAATAGTGGCCGACAATCTGACGTTTGTAGGAGTGGCGCCACTGAAACTCTGTCAAATATGACGCCAATAGCGGGCGGCTGGTGCCCAGTCGCTGGCGAATTGACCGTTTCACCAACATCCACAGACCCTCGATTGTTTGTGTGTGTATGTGACTGTGCGCGACGTCGACGAAGTTGATCTGGTGGACTACTACCTCGTGCAGATAGATGCCATGCCTTAAGTTTGCGACGTTGCTGTAGCCTCGCCAAGCGTCAGTGACGATGGTCGTTCCCGGCAGTACGTGATCTTTTATAATCCTCTCCAATGTCGCCGCATCTCGTTTTCGCACAAGCTCCAAGTAGCAACGGCCAGTCTCACGCTCTACTAGCCCGACGATCCAACGACCGTAACGGATGCGACCGCGCTGATACTTTCGTCGGAAGAAGTAGCTCTCTGTCTAACTGCCATTTTGCTGTTGTGATTTGATTCGTGACGACTTTTTCCGCGACTTGTTTTTAGTTTGGCGAAGGGACGCGAAGGGACATAACTCCCACGAAGCCCCACTAAGCCGGCCGAAGCAGTCTAGCTTACCGGCCAAATTTGCCAGTAGAGCCCAAAATTGTAAGGTATCGCTACATCCTAGGGTAATTCCGATGGTACCAGTAACTGTCCGATTGTATATCCGTCTCATCCTTCCCCTAAGTGTTGAGTGTATCTCCTCGCAGCGCCATTCTCCTCAGATCGTGATAATCTGTATGCGCCTCCGCACTGTTCACTTTTTCCTAAAGTGCCCGCACAATATCTAGCTTGTCATACATTAGTTCACCACCAAGTAGTACATTGCGGGTCAGTTTATCTGCCTGTTCATTTCCCAACACACCGGCATAAACTGGAGAAAATATCCAAAAGAGAAAACTACCAGGGACCTCTGAAGTGACGCTTGTAACTCTGCACGCAGCATGCCTGACAACACCTTTCTCAACACGTTCTGTGGATCAGTTACAATCACGACATATAAAATACCGCAATGTAGAAGATGGAAGAAGAAGAAAAAAACCTGAAGTACCCCTACGCCTTGGGCAGAAGAGGAAAGACAGGCTATCTCTACACTTTATCCCCCTCTTTTTTTTCTCTCTCTTCCTTTCCCTCCAGTACACAAATAATGATACAGACACATCTTGATGGTAATTTGTGTGCGTGTGTATGTGTGTGAAGACAGAGAGAACATGTCAAGCTTTGGCTACGATTCGCGCCCATCTCCGAAATAATGCACTAGGGAACTTTGCGACGCAGTCAGAACATAAATCCACAAGCTGCAGGGCATCTCCACCTCGCCTCGACGAATTGTAGCCCAACAGTGCAATGTGATTCTAAAATAAAAACTCCTGGGAGTTAGCGCCCTTTTGATATTTTCTTCAGGCAATACTGGCGTTTTTGGGGCATAAGAGAGAGAGAGAGAGAGAGAGAGAGAGAGAGAGAGAGAGAGAGAGAGAGAGAGAGAGAGAGAGAGAGAGAGAGAGAGAGAGAGAGAGTTTAGCTGGCTCTGCACCACTTGGTGACACACTGTTGCAAAATAGACTGATGTTGGTCAAGCTCCTTTTGGGAATTAGCAAACGGTGTAGAGGCACACACAAACGGTCTGAAGGGAGTGGTGATTCCGGGAGAAACCAGGGAATCTGACTCACACTCAGCATTGGGGAAGAATGTAAGACAGACACAATCAGACAGTTACTGGCACCATCGGAACTGGGACTGCACTGGCTGCTGAATATAGGGACGGAGTGCTTATGAGAATGCACTGAGTGCTGTAATCTTGGTTTTTAAAGCTTTTCAACCCAGCTCGAAAAACAAATCTGAATTTATAACTGCATATTGTGAATACCTAACATTTACGTTCTGTATACGCAGTGGCTGTTCGTAGCTAACATTAGTGGGGGTGGGGGGAGGGGTGGGCCAATAATTTTCTGTTATTATATTTCCTCACCCTGGCTGTAGTCGGGGGCCCTAATATACTCTAACGGTTGAACGGGGTTTCTGGGACGTGCCCGGGTGATCCTAGACCACTTGGTGGCACTTTGTGTCACCGGGTGTTGGTCCCTTGTTGTATGGGCTGATGGGGTTGAAAAACACATTAGTGGTAGTGCTGCTTCAACGGCGAATGGATCGCTTATTGTCTGGCCTGAAGACGACTTCGTCGCGGATCGGTATTTGGGTCTGTCCTCTTTGATCGCATCAACACTGCAAGAGCCTTGTTCAGGTCTTCTTGGTGGCGTGCCATGCTAAGCCATTTTATATGGAGCACATAGTGTAATGAGTCATTTTCTCCCCATTAAGTTATGCCCGATAGATGACGTCAGTAATAAATGTAAGGCGAATGTTTTGACTGACTGAGATAACACGAGATTTAGGTCTTGAGTTTCATGAGAGACATCTGAAAGTCAGGTTTTATGTGAAACATGATTGTTCACGTGAACCATGAAGGTTGACTGGCAGGATTCGTGTGAAATGCGAATTATCACGGGCCAGACACGACTTTCAACGGTGGGGAATTCGTGAGAATGAAATTATCCAGAATATTCGAGAACATGAGAGATCAGAGGGCTATATAATAGCGAAGAAAGGTTTGTGAGGCAGTCTCGTTCAGGCCAAGGGAATGTGTACGTCAGAAGATGAAGTCCGGAAGAATGTTGTCATCTGAATAGCGTGATTTCCCAATGCCTACCTGGCATAAAATAGCGGCTGACGGAAACGGTGGCCAGCTGTAAATGACTGTCGCCTGGATGGATGGAATTACTGTGTTTCGCTAAGTTGTGTGATGAATTCTACGATGTTACAAAGGTATGACTGACTGTTTAGATCATTGAATAAGTAATCGATGAGTGCTACGGTTGTGTATGAACATTTACTGACTGCAACATCAGCGAGTTAAAATAAACAGTACGTGTAACTTCTGAACGTCTGCCAGCGTCCATGTTTTCTCGTTCTTGTCAGTTGGTGAATGGAAAGATGCGGTGACTCATTCGAGCCAGAAATCAATAACAATGAAGATCACTGCAGATAGCATTGTCACAATTATAACCTAAAGCTCCACCTCTAGGGATGCTGGTTGAATGTAACGTTTTTTTTTTTTTTTTTTTTTTGCAAAGCAAGCTAAACCAAGGGATTTCAGGAAATCTTTAGTCATTTTAATTGCGTAAAACGAAATAAAATGTATAGGTAAACTTGATGAAATCCTTTAAAAAATGTTTAATTGCTAATAGTCTTAATTCTTAAAGTTCAAGCTTGATCCAACACTCTTGTTTCCTCTACAAGATTTTTTTTTAAAGAAAAGTAAAAAAAAAAAGCAACAACGTTGTGTGTAGCTTCTTATCTCGCACATGTGCACATGCGCCCATCAGCCAGACACGTATTTATGGAACTGTGAAACGTACAGTTCCACTCATGAATTTTGAAATTTTGTTTCATTCTTGACCTGAGGCGGCAGGGCTATTCAACTAAATTTACTCAAGGGCGATATTTGTGAAATTTGGTATGATCACGGGCCAGAAGCCAGAGTCCTAACATAGAAAGCTCATTAATACAATACATCTGGCAGTGACCCAGATTTAGCCTGCGAGCCACAAGTTTAGTATCCCTGAACTACTATGGCTACTGGAATCAATCTTAACAAAACTTCACGGAACTTTGTATTCAGATAGAGATGGTTCTGTATTTCCGGCTGCCCTAGTAAAAACAGCAGTCATGTTTGATCGTTGTTGAAATTTTACTTCAGTTATAAAAGATTCACTTATTTGCTTCATTTATGTAATTGTTACTGTAGTATGCACCTGACGAGATACAGTGAAATATGCCAGGCAATAAATTGTGCAATCTATTGTTTGTGTCTTCTTTGTTCAAATTTAAAACGGGGAAACATTGCTTTGATTAAATAGTGAACAAGTATAAAGAAAGGGAAAAAAAAGAACCCTCATTACATTAAGTATTATCAACAATTTTCCGTGAAATAGAAAGTGCTGTGGCTCTACAGTGCCTATACACGAGCCGCCACTGCGTAAAACGTTTTGTGACTCAATTAGTCTTGTGACAATTATTGCACGTTTTATTCAGGCACATCATGTAGAAACGAATCAGCGTACGCAGAGGTTCCAAGAGAAAGGACCCAGTGGCTGGGGTCAGTTCAGCTGACCATGGAGTGTGATCCGGGCTATGATATGCCCTTGAACAGCCCAGTAAATTCAACCTTGACCTGCTTACCTGATGGCTCCACCTGGAAGCCGGACTATTTGCCAGATTGTAACGGTACGGATGACGCCATCTTAAATAGGAAATTTATGTAGTAGTAGTAGTAGTATTAGTAGTTGTTGTAAAGTAGTAGTAGTTGTTGTAGCAGTAAAGTAGTAGTAGTAGTAGTAGTAGTAGTAGTAGTAGTAGTAGTAGTAGTAGTAGTAGTAGTAGTAGTAGTAGAAGAAGTAGTAGTAGTAGTAGTAGTAGTAGTAGTAGTAGTAGTAGTAGTAGTAGTAGTAGTAGTAGTAGTGGTGGTAGTAGTAGTAGTAATAATAGTATTAGTTGTTGTTGTAAAGTAGTAGTAGAAGTAAAGTAGTAGTAGAAGTAGTAGTAGTAGTAATGGTAGCAAGTAAGTAATTTTTTATGTAAAGTCGAAGTTGGGAGTCGCCGTGGCCGACCGGCTAGACGCTTGCCGCGGATCAGAAGGTCGTGGGTTCGCTCCCTGGCGGAGCCGGACTGTTTTCAATAATGACCTTGGCTCCTAGGTCGACTCAGCCTTGAATGGGTACCGGATGCAATCCCGGGAAAGTAAAGGCGGCCGGCATGATGCTGACAACATCACCCATCTTGTACCGATTGGTCTATACAAATATAGGTCTAGCCCTATATGCCCTATAGGTCCTTTACTTTACTTTACCTTTAAAGTCGAAGTCAAGAGGATCGACTTCATTGCACCGGGTTTTATTATATATGGTTTGCGTCTCTAGGCAGAACGGCTTGTCTTCTGCCGACAGGGTCACACAAAGCATAAACTCTAAAGCTCCAGCAATGATTCATAGAAATCTGTCTTAGAAATGCCCTTGTGAACCGAATGTCTCAATAGTTTAGGTAAATTAGTTATAGTAGTAGTAATAAATGTAGCAATAGTAGTAAAAGTAGTATCTGCAGGAGTAGTATTTTATTCATACATCTACGTTCTACTCTTTCGGTACAACTTACGAATGCCACCCCATCTCGCTCGGCTGTGTGATTTCGTATTCATTCCTACGGACTGTCCTACATTCTAGGGGTATCAGGTGATTCGGGTGTTGCTTAATTTGAAGGCCTTGAACACACCCACCACAGATGAAAAGCCACCAACAACGAGGGTAAAAATACATAACATAAATGATTCGATACACACGAACCGTGACACCTTCGGCGCTTTCCCCTACAGTACTTGTTCCTTATACACAGGCGCCTGAGCTACTTATAACAACAACACATTCGACAAACGAATGATTGGGGATGAATTCCGTGATTAGTACCACTCTTTCTTTCTAGCTTTCATCCTAAGTCCGTTCGTAACTGTGTGAGCTTGTGAGTCCGTCCATGTGGTCACACTATAATAATCTATAATAAGCCTTACGTGTGAAAACTGTCAATTACTGCCTTTATTACACAAATGTTCCTGTTTGTGGGGTGGGGTCTTTGAGCCTGAGGATTTACGGCCGCTTGGGGGGGATTGTTGTCGAAAATCATATAATGACCACAGATAAAGGATAAATGATAACATAATTGCAGAAAGGTTAAGAGCTGATTGTATGAGCAGAAGCTTGTTAAATAAAGACATAAGGTGGTGAGACTGGTCCAGAAATCCTATACTCTAATCTTCTGTCTAGTCACACTCTTCCATTTAAATGTGCACTTAATGCATCAGTATCGCCTTCGAGTGTATTTTTACATAGAGGTATTACCTGGCCCGCCCCCCCCCCCCCGCTACCACCACCACAGAAAAGATCGTTGCAACTGCTGCCGAGATGACCATGACCGGTCAGCTTCCCAGTGCCACCTGTGACGGACTTGGTCAGTTCACCACCAGTAGGACCACGCTGACCTTCGCCTCGTCACGTCGTCTCGTGATCACTGAGTAAGAATTGTCGCAAGTATCTTTACTCGTCCTACCCAGAACTACCCTACATTACCGTTTTTTGCTCTTCTACGGTTGGATGTAGAGATGTAGTCTTTTCTTTTCTATCCTTTGATGTAAATGTACCTTACAGTCTCGTTTGGTTTTTCCACTTATTTTGGGATGTAGGAGGTACCTCACAATCGTGTTTAGTTTTTCCTCTTATACCTGGTATGTAGGAGGTACCTTAGTCTTGTTTAGTCTTTCTGCTTCTATCTTTGATTTAGAGGTACTTTACATGTTAGTCTAGTCTTTCTCCCTTTACACTGGTTTCACCGGAATCTGCCCTAGTATCTAAATAGTGAAGGATTCTACCAGGTCATTTCCTAACCGTACAGGACTAGGCCACTTGTTGACTCCGCGGATGGTACAATCCTACTCTCAGCTGGGCACTCAGCTCTACCAATTGTGTCTCATTTCCTGTGTAACTTCTGTCCATTTTATGACATCTGTCATGTTGTCCAGTGTGTTGTACGGGTATATCTGCATATGTTGTCCTTGAATTCTATGACATCTACACGTGTTATCCTGTTTGTTATATGACATATGCACATGTTATCCTGTATGTTCTGTGACATCTACACATGTTATCCTGTATGTTCTGTGACATCTACACATGTTGTACCGTGTTCTATGACATCCCCATATGTTGTCCTGCGTGTTCTATGATATCTGCACATGTCGTCTTTGTGTTCTGTGACATCTAAACATTTTGACTTGTGCGTTCTGTGACATCCATATATGTTGCCGTTTTTAAAAAGGAGTAGAAAATTATAGGGAAGAGAAAAAGTTGGTAAGAAACAACAAATAGTTTATGTTAGCTTTACAAAATCGATCACAATAAACAAACAAACAAAGGACGTTGCGGCGATTAGCCTTCATCAGCACATAAAGGACAACACTGTACACATATGTTGCCGTGTGTGTTCCATGACATCTGCGCATGTTGTCCTATGTGTTCTATGCTATCTACGCGTGTTGTCCTTGTGTTTTGTAACATCTACCCATCTAACATCTTTGTGTGTTACATGACATCAGTATATGTTGTCTTACGTTTTTTATGACATCTGCGCATGTTGTCCTGTGTGTTCTATGACATCCGTATATGTTGTCCTAGTTGTCCTGTGTATTCTATGACTCCTGCTAATGTTGTTCTGTGTGTTCTATAACATCTACACATGTTGTCCCGTGTGTTCTGTGGCATCCACATATATTGACTGGTGTGTTCTGTATTATTATTATTATTATTATTATTATTATTGTATCTGGCATTCGGCGCATAGTAATTACTTTGACTATTTTTTTAAATTTAGCATTTAAATAAAGCTTTTAAGAACACCCTCCCTTTCTCTTCTCCCGCCAAATTTTTTGTAGAGAAAGCCCCCCCCCCCCCATCCCCCCACACACATCCTTAGTACATCCTCATTGTTTTCTTTGTGTCGATGCCCCTTCTGAAGCTGTTATCTCAACTGTTGTGTATCCCGTACCTAACGGTTTTGCTACTGAACATCTGACAGGATGTGCAGGCAGCATCTGTTGAGCTGTGCCGTGGTGCGGGCCTCGATTGACTGTCAGGACAAATCTGCAAATGGAGGTTCGCCCCCGCATGTAAGTTCTGATCCCCATTCAACTCTTTCAATACCAAACAGTTTACAATGCCTAGTGTGCCAACTGACTTGGTTAAACCAGCATCGCAGTGAGTGGGTGACGAACTCCTTGTTCACTCTCGGACGTGGTCTCTATCATGGAATCAAAGCCGAAGGGTTGTGACATCCATAGTACCAAACCAAAGAATTTACAACTCATGGTTTCTGGATTAAAAAAAAAAAAAATCCACAATTTCTTCTTCTTCTTCTTCGCGTTCACCAGCTGTAAACTCTGGTGGAAAGTTCTGGTTGTTCGTCCAACTCTGGACTGCAGTGCTGCTCCAGAAACTGAATGTTGCACGTGCATCCGTTTTACAGATTTGACTCATTTGTATGCAGACTGCTGGTTCATTGCCCCTCAAGCAGATCCATTCCGACTTCGAAGGAAGCTTCCACTTAGGTCGGCTCTTACGACATGCTTTTGGGTAGGCAGTGGGTGTATTCTTGTTTTCCCTATAACAGCGCCCCGGAAGCCACACGGGGAATCCCCAATTTATTGATCGGTTATTCTTTATATCCCAGTGTTGGTTCTGGGACTCGATTTTAGGAAAAGACAACAACTGCTCCCTAACAAACATGTCGTAAGTGGGGTGAATTAATTAGGGTTTTGCTGACATTGAATTTGTTGGATGCACCGAGGGCACGGATAGAGCAGTCAGGCTGAGAACCACAACACAAATGACCTACCGCCCTTTTAGGGACGATCGCGGAAGAAAATCATGTAGTTATGTGTTTCTGAATTTCCTCTGTATCACAATGCTATGACACTACCGCATTGATTAAAAACGTTGCCCATTGGGCATATAATGCTACGCTCGTATTTATTTAGACTGATTGGCACAGGGTTGGTAAAGTGGTCGACATTACACTAGTCGCCTTTACTTCCTAGGCCATTGCCTGCGATCCAGTTTATTCTGGGCAGTCCCAGGAATAAAAGTCAATTTTTTTTTATGGGTGCAATCTACCTCCTTGCGGATTTAAACACTAGACTGCAGGCAAACGTTTAACCTTGGCCCTTTTGCGGATCTCATTACCATATTGTGCCCAAATATATTACCATAGTTTCCTAATGCAAGTATACCGGAGTTCTTAATCAGATACAGCCGCTTTGGTGGCAAACCAGCCCAACACCTTTGGCTTCTTGCATCAACTTTCATTGTGGAAGAAACAGTCCTGTTCTAATTCAATTGTTTCCAATTTCAGTACTTGCGTTGTGAGTTTTAGTCCTCCCTGTGTGGGTTCCGGGGCTGTGTTGTGGAAGATTGGGGGGGGGGGGCGTGGTGGGGGTAGACTCACGGCCCCCTAACAAGCATGTCGTACGAGTTCTACAATGTGCTTCACCCCCTGTCAACCCTCCACCCACCCCCACTTCTACGGAAACTTGTTTAGCTCTTTCTCAACAACTGCAGAGTTGTTATCAACACACATATAATCATGGTCGTCAGAAAGAGATAATCTACATTCATAGATCATGTTACGAGAAGGAGAAAACTGGAGCACATTTTGACTGTGGAAAATTTGGACGGGAAAACAGGCAGAGGGAGACCAAGAGAGAAGATACTGGACGGTTTGGCATCTTAGTATGGAACACCATCTGTGTCAGAAGTGAAACTACACCAGGCAGAGAAAGTCGTGAATCGGACATGACTACCAACGCCACACGGCATGGACTTTGAGAAGAGGATTATCATCACAGTCGCTTAACACTGCAGCTCGTCGGGTCACCAGCAGCTGTCGACTTCTGATTTGTTCCCTCGGCCTCTGTTGATCTTATTCAATGAACTTGACCTTTGCAAGTTCGAGGTCCGTTCAGGCAGCCACATTCTATACCCTGGACATTCTTGCTCTGATTAGCGTTCTTCAGCTCTGAGCTTTGACGGAAAGTTCTGCAGTCCTGCTCCAGAACCTGAGTGTTGCATGTGCATCCGTTTTACAGATCTGACTCGTTTTTATGCAGACTGCTGGTTCCTTGCTTCTCAGGCAGATGCACTCTGACTTTGAAGGAAGCTCCCAATTAGTCGACTCTCACGACATGCTTTTGGGTAGGCAGCGGGTCTGTTTTTGTTTTTCCTATAATAGGGCCCCGGAACACACACGGGGAATCCTTGTTCTGATTCTTCTCTTCTTCCCCTGTATCGAGTCCCATGGTACGAACCGATTTAAACACAACACTTTGATATCCACGCACCACACTGTCTCTCGTTTACTTAACATTCCACCACGGAAGTCAAAGACTAATATTGTGATTCATTTACTTATACATTTTAAATGGCTCCATAGATTTTCCTGAGTCTGGCAATTGTCCTTGCGCCTTCTACTCATTGGAGCATGTACACCAAGAAATCTGTTCCGCTGGCGCTAACTATTCTACGTAGCCTGGAGGAACGTGCAGTGAGTTCACATGTCAACACCACAATCACGCCTGTGTGCCGGATTGGTACTGTCGGAGTGTTGCGTGCAGGTTCCGAGGTCGTATGTCGTGAGTACACTTTCTGTGATCTGTGAGGCATCAGATACTGTTGTTTTAAGGGAAGAGTCGCATAGGACGCCAAAGTAGTTTCACCAGGCAGACACGTAAGGAGCATGGCTTTCAGACGGACAGTCGTACATCACACAGATTTGCAAGGACACCAGAGTTGTTGATAATGATGATAGTGATGATCATGTCAATAACGATGTTCCTAATAGTGATGACGACGATGGTAGTGGTGATACGATCTTAATCAAGAGGATATTGATGAGACGACGATATTGATGAGACGACGATATTGACGACGACGACGATATTGATAATAGGGCTGTACCGAATATTCGCTTCGTATTCGCTTCGGGGCCGAATAGTGGACCTACCTATTGACTATTCGGTATTCGGCCGAATAGTTGCGGTCGGGCCGAATACGAATAGTAGTTACCTTACACCCGCTTCTGCATACACTGCCTTAATGCTGTCAACATGGAACGATTGGTTTTGTTGAAAGTGACAATTTCCAAGTTTAGTTACTGGTTATAATACTAGGATTCTTTCATTCCTAGTTATGTGTTACCACAGACTGACTGATTGATGCAAAACATAAAGTGTACGAATACTAACTAGACATGGAAAGAATATAAACTCCGGCCACTTCCAATTTGATAATATGAAAATCAAACGAACGGAAACATATAAGTACTTGGGTGCAAACTTAAACTGCTCCAACATGCTGAGAGAAGAAATACAATCTTGAATACAATCTAGAAATAAAGTATACTATGCCCTTCAACATCCGCTAAAGTTAAAGTGCTGTCTCGCAACACCAAAATCAAAATGTTGAAAAGACTGGTCGTGTTATATGGCTCTGAAACATGAAGCAGAAATAAAAAAGATGAGGCCTTATTACAGGTTTTCGGAAACAGTCTTACGACAAATTTTTGGACCCATCCAAGATGCTAACAGCGGGGAATGGAGAGTGAGAAGCAACAACGTAACACATAATCTGTTTAAATCACCATTGATCACTGGCATCATAAGAGATAACAGACTAAAATGGTTGGGACATATTGAAAGAATGTCAGATGACAGAGAAGTAAAACTGTATACACCTAAGAGAGGAATGGGCGTAGACCACGCGGCAGAAAAAAAAAAGAAGTTCGAGAGATAATGTTCAGTCAGACCTGCAAACAACTGGTGTCACAAATTGTGAAGAGATGGCCAGCCAGAGAGATGAATGGAGACCAGTGAAATCTGTAGCAGTAAACCTCGAGGGCTCAAAATGTAAAGAAGATGACTATTCTGTGCTACTTTATGTAAAGTAAAAGTTCAGCGTACATTTGACATTATAAGTGTGTGTGTGTGTGTGTGTGTGTGTGTGTTTTTTTTTTTTAGATTATTTTATACACAATACACTATTCGTATTCGTATTCGGCTGAATAGTTGGTCCTGTTATTCGTATTCGGTGAAAATCACTATTCGGTACAGCCCTAATTGATAATAACGATAATAATGTTGTGAAGACGACGACAATGTCAACGATAACGACGATAATGTTGAAGATGACGACAATGTTAACGATGCCTACGAAATTGATGACGACGTTGACAATCTTTATGATAGCGACGACAATGTTGATGATGACGACGACAGTGGTGTTGACGATGAAGACGATATTGATGGAGACGATGTTGATGGAGACGATGTTGATGGAGACGATGTTGATGGAGACGATGTTGACGATGACGATGTTGATGGAGACGATGTTGATGGAGACGATGTTGACGCTGACGATGTTAATGCTGACGATGTTGATAGAGACGATGTTGATGGAGACGATGTTGATGGAGACGATGTTGATGGAGACGATGTTGATGGAGACGATGTTGATGGAGACGATGTTGATGCTGACGATGTCATTTTTGAAGATAAGGAACATGAAAATGGTAATGATGACGACCACGGTGATGCTGATGATGACGACGACAGTGTTGGTGATGATGACGACGTTGCTGATAATGACGACACGATGCTGATGATGACGACGACGATGCTGATGATGACGACACGATGCTGATGATGACGACGTTGCTGATAATGACGACACGATGCTGATGATGACGACGACGATGCTAATGATGACGACACGATGATGACGACGACGATGCTGATGATGACGACGACGATGCTGATGATGACGACGACGGTGCTGATGATGACGATGACGATGCTGATGATGACGACGACGATGCTGCTGATAACGACACGATGCTGATGATGACGACGACAATGCAAATGATGACGACGACCGTGCTGATGATGACGAAGATGATGCTGATGATGATGATGACGGTGCTGATGATGACGACGATGGTGCTGATGATGACGACGACGATGCTGATGATGACGACGACGGCGCTGATGATGACGACGATGGTGCTGATGATGATGACGGTGCTGATGATGACGACGATGGTGCTGATGATGACGACACGATGCTAATGATGACGACGACGATGCTGATGATGATGATGACGACGGTGCTGATAATGGCGAGGGCAGCGTTTGATGACAACGACGACGTTGATGACGACGACGACAATTTTAATGACGACGACGATGTTGATGATGACTACGAAGAAAATTTTAATGACTACGATGATGCTGATGAGGACGACGACGGTTTTGATGATGACGACGATGTCGTTAAAGATTATGAATGTGTTGTTGTTGACGATGGCGATGTTGGTGTTGATAATGGTGATGTTGTGGTTGATGACTACCATGTTGTTGTTGATGATAGCGATGTTATGATGAAGCGATGTTGAAGATTATACTGATGTTGTTGATAATGTTAATAACGGGGATGTTGATGATGATTATAATGATGAAAATGACGATGCTGATAATGTTGGCGATGATCATGTGGGTGATGATGATGATGATGATTGTCACATATCGCTCCTGTCGCGTGCCTGATTTAAGGATTTCTCCTTAAGAACCAACAGCACTCTGAAATAATTATGTTGAGTCGTTGGCTCGTATTGGTCTAAGGGATGCCCTGTGGCCAATATACGCTCAACTTATTTCAGGAGTAGAGCAGCTCAAGTTTTGGCACTACAAAATCTATAATATTCCTAGGCACACTTGGCTGGACACCCCACTACTATAAAAAGATAGCCCCCAGGTTATGATAGTCTACTATCATTAACATGTTATCACATATAACACTTATTGCTCACACAATCATCAAAGCTAGACAGTTAGAATTGTGAAATAGGGACACCCAAGTCAGCCATGAAAATGTGTGCATGTAATCAGTACAATATATACATATAATAGTGAATAGATCAACAAGAGTTCATTGAATGAAGCTCAGGAATCAATGACACTACCCAGATATTGAAGCAGCCTGATCTTGTTCTAGGAGAGTACATGAGTTCATCATCGGTCTGATCAGGTGCTGTGGGAATAGAGCATGAAGGGTGAGTAAAATATCACTTAGCCCAGTTCGTAGGTCAATGCTCCCCTCAGTCCATGGTGATTCGACTGTAGTTGACTAAATCAGTAGTTGGGCCTTGATTTGATCTGGTACCAACTGACTGTCACGAGCTAGGACACAGGAACTGCACAGGAACCCACCAAAGCTCTTGGAGACTGTGTTGCCCACTGCCGGTCTCACAGGTGATGACACAATAATTGCAGAAGAGCCCATCAAAGCTCTTGAAGACTGGTTCTCTGGATTGATGACATAGGTGTCTGCAATTGTCCACTGGTCCTGGAACTCACAAACAAGCTCTTGCCATGTTGAGGTAGTGGCACTGCAGACAGGACTTTTGGGATACTCTTGGTGCACAGAATGGTATGGGTTGGTGGTGGTTGGCTGGACTGTGATTCGTCTGCCTGATCTCTAAGGAGGTATCATCCTGTCAGGAAAGAACACAGAATTAGTAATCAGCCTTATTCACACACACTAGCTCATCTCACCTCTGCCACCTTTCTCCATCCTCAGAGTGTAACTCCCAAGAACAGGAGACAATGTCTCCTTTCATTTATCTGTCTGTAAAATAGTGCCACATATAGAAACTAAGGTATATAGTGGAGATAGATAGATACTACCACACATAGATCATCCTCTCTCCACCCTCACATCTGCACTCGCTGACATACAATGTTTACAGCTAGTACCTATATATATATACCGTCTCCACAGGCCGTTCACTACACACCCACTGAAACTGTGTCAAACACACCTTTGACTCAGAGCGCCTAGCCCTGACTGCCGGTTAAAGATGACCTAAATTCCCTGTTTCAGTTATGCGACACAAACTTAGTTTGACTGGTCAGAGAAAAATTACTTGTAGGGTTTAATATCTTTACAAATGGTGTGGGTTATGTAGAGCACCAACTAATTAGTCTGTACAGGGGAAGGTCTAAGGTTCGGATCTGGATCTCTGGACATCAAGAACGGTCGAACTCTGTGCGATCACACAGCTGACTCTGCCCTCTCTGCAGCAGTGGCCAACTTTAAAAAGACATCAATTATGGTACTCGTAAACTATAATCAACTTACCCAAGCTTAGGAAATCTTCCAAGATAGAAATGGAACTTTGAATGCGCCAATTTCTACATAGACTGTATACACTTCTAGACACTTTGGGATCAGGCGAAAGAATGTTTTTTCAAAATCAAACTAGCTTCTCTAGGAAAGAAGTCCCCTGTATTCCTGCCTAAGGAGTAAACCGGTTTACAGGAATTTCTAAATAAAATACCAGAATTCGCCAACCTACAGTTGCAAGTTTGAAAACTAAGATTTATCAAAGCAACTAGAGGGTCTAGAAATGAATATTTAACCAGATAAAGGTATAGATCAATATAAGGGACTATTTACCTTTCGGGACGGGTTCAAGTTTGAAATTTGACTGTCCGCGAGGGAAATCAAAGTCGCGACTCGTCCATTGTGTAGGGTGGCTGCTCACCTCACGACAATAACAAAAATAATAATAACAACGATGATGAGAACGATGATGATGGTGACGATGACGACAATGTTAATTGTAATAATAATGATGATATAATAACGATCTTAATTGTACCAATTTTTGTTCGAATGTTTCTTTACATCTGATTTTATTCAATAACATTACTGATCTCCTCCGCAATCAAGGCGGATGTTCTCTGGGCCATTACTTGGATTCCGTAAACAAGATATGTGTTCCCTGTTCCCCCGGTTACTATGGAGACAGGGTGCTGAGCACGTCCTGCAAGCTGTGTCCAGGAATGTCCAGCTATTACGGCACGCTTCAGTGGGAGAGGATCCTCAAAGTGATCCCCAATCGAGCCCACTCCATCAGCAGCTGTCCCATTTTGTACAAGCACACGAATGGGACCCTGGAGGTGAGAGTACCCTCGAAAATCCACGCCCAGCTGTCGCAGCTGGGCCCAGAAGAAGGCAGGACAAAGCCGCGAGGTGAGAGTGCTTGTGGCATCCTCCTTGTTGGTTCTTTTGGCACTGGTTTCTGATTATGGTGGCTGCAAGCTTTGGGTTTATGGGATGGGGGAAAATGGGAAAGGGAGTGGAAAAAAGTGTGTGTGTGTGAGTGTATCTGTGTGTGGAAGGAGGGGAGTCTAACCCCAATCCTAACCATAAACGTAACCATAACCATAACCGAAACCATAACCCTAATCATAACTAAAACCATAACCCAAACTATAACCATAACCATAACCTTAAACATAACCCTAACCATAACCCTAACCATGACTCTGACCATAACCCTATCTTTAACTATAATCCTCACCCTAACCCTAACTCCTAACCTAAACCATAACTCTAACCCTATCCCTAACCATAAATGTAACCCTAACCCTAACCATAACCCTAACCATAACCCTTACCATAACCGAAACCATAACCACAACCCTAACCTAAACCATAACCTTAACTATAACCCTAAACATAACTCTGACCATAACCCTATCTTTAACTATAATCCTTACCCTAATCCTAACCCCTTACCCAAACCATAACCCTAACCATAACCCATAACCCTATCCCTAACCCTAACCCTCACCCTAACCTCAACCATAACCCTAAACATAATCCTAAACATTACCATAACCAAACCCTTAACCGTAGCCCTAACGCTAACCATACCCATAATTCTCACTCTAACGCTAACCATAACCCTCACCCTAACCATAATGCTAACCCTAACCCTAACGTCTATAGCAGTGTTCTTCAATCTATGAGCCCCCCAAAAAGTTCAGCTGGACTGCCAGCAATGTCTACGCTATCGTATAACGGAATAGAGTAGGTAGTTTTTCTCTTCCAGGACTGGAGTCTGTAGGAGTTGAGTTGAGTCAAGAACTGACATTACAGCACTCAGGGTATTCCCACATGCGCTTCGTCCCCGTCTTCAGCAGCCAGCGCAGAGTACCAGTACTACTGGTGCTGGTCGAGGTCTGGTTATATGTCCGTCTTGCCTTTGCTCTGAGTGAAGTGAGCCGGCCAGACCCTGGTCACACCCAGGTGCCTTATTCTCTCCAGGCCACAATAATAGTTTCTCTTCTGACTTCGTTGCTTGTTCCCAAAGGGCCTTGGTCACATCTGCCTGGTCATGTATCAATTCACCACCCTGTGGTGCAGATCCAGTGTGTAGGATTACCACCTCAATGATGACAATCAATCAGATACCAGTGATATTCACTATAACAAAGTAAGCATTTAAAGACCTTATGGCAGCTCTTCGTCTTTCAGAATTATGGCTCCAGGCACGTAAATTGGATTGTCTAACATCTAAGCAGCAACATATGTTACACTGGCTGAAAATTTTAAATTTTTGGAATCGGATTTCACAAATAAACTTTATTACGGTCTAAAGAGAATGTCGCTGCGGGGAGTTACCAGGGGATTTGGCCGACGCTCAACACTCACAGAAAAGACGAGACAAGGTTACCAGAGGATTTGGCTGACGCTCACCACTCATGACAACAGCAGGACAGATGTACTATCTGTTACTTGTACCATCGGACCTGGAACTCTTCGCTTGCTGCTGAAGATGGGCACGATGCGCCTATAGGAATGTCCCAAGCGCAATGATGTCGTCCCTTAATTCAACATTCACAACTAAACTGCCATCGACATGTGTTATTGTTTCTGTTTTTGGTTAGCTGCCAGATGGACTACGAAACAATGTTCTCCGTTTAAGTGGGCTGCGGGGGTAACAAGGGTTGAGAAACACTGACTTATAGGTCAGATATCATTATCAATAATATCGCTGTCACCATCATCACTATTGACCCCACCACTATCATCATTAACATTATTATAGTCAGCTCATTCATTGACCAGTATCATCATAATAATCACCACAGTCAATCATCATCATTATCATCATGTGCCTTGTCACACGATCACATAGACAACCAAAGACAGAAAGAAAAAAGACAGAGACAATTTAAAGGCAGGCAACCAAAGACAGAGACAACTGAAGATAGAGACAATTAAAGACGAAGACAACTAAACGACAGACAACCCAATACGGTGCAGCTAAAGACACATACAACTAAAGTCAACTAAAGATAGAGACAACTGAAGATAGAGGCAACTTAAGACAGAGACAATTAAAGATGAAGACAACTAAACGACAAGACAACCCAATACGGTGCAACTAAAGATACATACAACTAAAGTCAACTAAAGATAGAGACAACTGAAGATGGAGACAACCCACGGCCCACTGTACATTTTTATAAGGAATTTCTGTTTTTATGCAACTCCGAGGGGCTGGTGTGCGTGTTCACTATGTTTATCGAGTAGATTAATGCACATATTAAACTACAGTTTGATTTTCTAAATTAATTATCATTTTAAAGATAAATTAGTAGGCTATATATTTTTGTTTTCATTATTATTATATTTTCTAATAGAACCTAATTTATCTTCAAAATGATAATAAAAAAAAAACTTATTGGAAATTAATGAAACTGTAGTTTAATTTGTGTATAAATCTACTCGATAAACATAGTGAACACACACTGGACCCTAGGAGTTGAACAAAAACGGGAATTTCCATTGATTTGGATAGCCCTATTAAAAAAGCATACGTGGGTCGTCGACATCCAACGACAGAGACAATTAAATACAGAGACAACAACTAAAGACGGAGACAACCAAAGACAGAGACAACTAGACAGAGGCAAAATAAACTCAGCCGTTTTCTCCCCATTCCCCCTCCACCCCTCCGGCGCCCTCTACAATCCACAGATGCCAACGATGGAAAACAGCCATCCTTGGATTCAGGAAGCAAACTCGTAATCGCCACATTCGTTCTGTCGGCGCTGTCTGTTGCGTAGGTAAAGTTTGTGGCGTCGTCGGCGGGTTTCCCAGTCTAATTTTGGTTTAGCTCACATGTCTAGTTCTAGAACATTCTAATGTAGATCGCTGCATGAGAAGGGGTGGGGAAGGAGGAGCAACGGCCACAGCAGGTATACCAGATCGCCAAAGGAGAAGAAGTGAGGAGGGAGGGACACAAGCCATAACACACAGAACAGGAGATCTGTTGTGAGGAGGGAGGGTCAGCAACCGTAATAAATATCAAGAGTTTGCTCCTATAGAAGTTGAATATATTCAAACCACTGGTCAATATTAAACACGCGGGGGATGGTTGACTACCCATGGACATCCTTTATGGTGAATTTAAAATAAGTAGAACCTGTCGAAGTCGACTCTTTTTTTTTGGGGGGGGGGGGGGGGTGGGGGGATCCAGAAACCATGAGTTTTAAACCCTCTGGCTGTATTCTATGGATATCGTAACCATCGGCCTTGATTCTATGATAAGTAAAGTAAAAAAGTAAAGGACCCTTTTCCACGCCTTTAGGTGTATAGGGCATATAGGACTAGACCTATATTTTAAGACAAATCGGCACAAGATGGGTGATGTGGTCAGCATCACGCCGGTCGCCTCTACTTCCCTGGACTACACCCGGTACCCACTCAAGGCTGGGTCGACCTGGGAGCCAAGGTGATTTTTTTAAAAAAGTCCGGCCCCGCCAGGGTGCGAACCCACGACCTTCCGATCCGCGGCGAGCGCCTAGCCGCTCCGCTACGGAGACTGATTCTATGATAGATGCCGTAAATCTGGGAAATATGTGGAGTTTCTATTTACCCCCTGAGCGTGAACTTTAACCATAAGGAGTTTGTCACCCGGTCGCTGCGCAGCTGGTTTGAGGATATAAAGATATGTGCAAGCGGGGCATGAATGATACGTGTACTGATGTGGATTTTGGAACAAGATACCGTGAACTTTACTACGTGGGGTGGGTAAATCAAGAAAGGAATATGGGTAGAAGAGAAAATGACTGCAGTTAGATTTAGAGCTGAAATTTCAGCAGCAGCACTTAAAGTAGGCACGATAGCAATGATGGTCCTGAAATCCCATACTGTAAGTTTAGAAGATTGTTCTTAACTCTCGCCATCACCCTGAGTGGTCATTCCCATTTGCGCCTGGGGCCCCATTGGTTGGAAAACAAGAACTGACCCACTGCCTCCCAAACAGGCATGTCGTAGGAGTCAACTAACTGGGAACTTCCTTCGAAGACGGAGTGCATCTAGCCGAACGTCAAGAAACAACCAGCTGCACACAAATAAGCTAGTAAAACGGACGTACACCTAAAACTCAGGTCCTGGTACAAAGCCAAAGTCCAAATGGGCGAACAACCAGGACTTTCCGTCAGAGCTTACAGCCGGTGAACAAAGAAAAAGAAGAAGAAGCCATTGGGCGGTGAGTCCCATGCCTTCGTCTAGCACAATAAAATTTGGAAAGACTAAAAGATAGAAACATGAGTGATTGTTAGGCAACGCATGGCTTTTTTAGGGCACTGACGGGGAAACAATTTTTTGTTCATTTAGTTTGTACCTACTAGGATCATAAAGATAAAGATCATCACAACAGAGACGAGTTGTTTTTAGGTAAGCTAGCAGAGGAACAGGAAAATAAGAAAATAAATTAATTAAATGAAGACTGGGACTGAAAGAAGTTATACAATTCGCAACCCATTAGATGGTTCGGTCACCTCACGACAATGGCCTGGTTCTATCTGCCAAATAGAGCCATGCCAAAGAAATATAATAAAGACAGAACAATTAGAGAATCCGGAGAAAACATGTAACGATGGCATCAAGAGAAGTCAGCTAATACAACACATTAAAATAAAGCACACAGAAAATTATTAGATCTCCTCTCAACATATGACAGAAGCAGTCATAGTAACTTCTTCTTCATCTTCTTTTTTTCTTCTTCTTTATGTCCTCTTTTACCGCTTCGATTGTCGAGGGAGAAATAGGGTCCTGCTTTGTGCTCTTCTTTCTGCCTCGACCATAGACACATAGTGGTGCTGTAGAGTTTCTTTGATGTTATCTTCCAATTTTACTCTTGGTTCTACTCTTGATCTACGTCCCTCTCCTCTTTTGGTAATAAATGTCTTGTTTGGCATAGCATCAGAAGGCATTCTATTCCAAGTGGGCAAACTATTTGATTTGCTGTCTGTATATAAAATTTAGAATTAGTTCCTTGCCGACTTGATCTCGTATGACCTCATTACTGGTTGTATCTCTTCTGGTCACTCCAACATTCTTTCTCAGACACATCATTTTCATGGCTACTAATTTTCTTTGTTGTTTTATTGTGAGTTACCCCGTTTAGCACTGGTGGCATAGGATGGGAATGAATATGCTTTGTATGAGACGTTTCTTTGTGCTGACTGAGACTGACTTATGCTGTAAGGGGAAAGGGGAGGGGGGGGGGGAAGGGGAGCTAGCTGTCCCAAATACATGCTAGTAGTAACTAACTATATTGTCCACCAGTATTTAATTTCTAGCCAATCTTGAGTGTACTGTTGCATGGTTTCTGTATCTGCTGTTGCTCTGTGGGTTGTGATTAGTGAATGTGTTCAACAGTTTCATGATCGTCAACTACTATGATTCGATTTCTGCAGTTGGCGGTCTATGACCCCCCCCCCCGCCCCCCGTTCTCTTGTTTTTCGGACATAAGAACGAAAAATTGCACCGTGGAAGAGACTGTGACTTTAGCGCGTAATATCCACAAAGACAGCAAAAAAAAAAACTTCTGTTATAAATATACATTGGTTGTGTGGGTCACAGGTGTTACGCCATCTTAGGAGCCAGGAGAAGAGGACATGACACGGCTAGATCCGAGGGGAGGTTGTGATCATCTGACGGTCAGAGTTACCACAAGTGTTGCAGCAGCGTGAATAAACGTGCTGACCTGGTCGATGGGACAAGGCGGCAGTAGCAGCAGCCATTGCGTGTGTATGTGTGTGTGTGTGTGTGTGTACTAATTGAATGTGCGTCAATATGGTTGACAGACTCATGTGAATGTTAATATGGTTGGCCATGTCATGCGGGTGTTAAGATGGTAGATAATTTTGACATAAATGTTAATACGGTTGACAGTCTTGACATGGGTGTTAATATGGTTGAACATTTGAGATAGGTGGTAATGTGGTTAAACATTTGACATAGGTGGTAATGTGGTTAAACATTTGACATAGGTGGTAATGTGGTTAAACATTTGACATAGGTGGTAATGTGGTTAAGCATTTGACATGGGTGTTTGTGGTTAAACATTTGACATAGGTGGTAATGTGGTTAAACATTTGACATAGGTGGTAATGTAGTTGAACATTTGACATAGGTGGTAATGTGGTTGAACATTTGACACAGGTGGTAATGTGGTTAAACATTTGACATAGGTGGTAATGTGGTTGAACATTTGGCATAGGTGGTAATGTGGTTAAACATTTGACATAGGTGGTAACGTGGTTGAACATTTGGCATAGGTGGTAATGTGGTTAAACATTTGACATAGGTGGTAATGTGGTTAAACATTTGACATAAGTGTATGTGGTTAAACATTTGACATAGGTGGTAATGTGGTTGAACATTTGACATAGGTGGTAATATGGTTGAACATTTGACATAGGTGGTATTGTGGTTGAACATTTGACATAGGTGTATGTGGTTAAACATTTGACATAGGTGTATGTGGTTAAACATTTGACATAGGTGGTAATGTGGTTGAACATTTGACATAGGTGGTAATGTGGTTGAACATTTGACATAGGTGGTAATGTGGTTGAACATTTGACATAGGTGGTAATGTGGTTGAACATTTGACATAGGTGGTAATGTGGCTGAACATTTGACATAGGTGTATGTGGTTAAACATTTGACATAGGTGGTAATGTGGTTGAACATTTGACATAGGAGGTAATGTGGTTGAACATTTGACATAGGTGGTAATGTGGTTAAACATTTGACATAGGTGTATGTGGTTAAACATTTGGCATAGTTGTATGTGGTTAAACATTTGGCATAGGTGGTAATGTGGTTAAACATTTGGCATAGGTGTATGTGGTTAAACATTTGACATAGGTGTATGTGGTTAAACATTTGACATAGGTGGTAATGTGATTGAACATTTGATATAGGTGGTAATGTGGTTAAACATTTGACATAGGTGGTAACGTGGTTGAACATTTGGCATAGGTGGTAATGTGGTTAAACATTTGACATAGGTGGTAATGTGGTTAAACATTTGACATAGGTGTATGTGGTTAAACATTTGACATAGGTGGTAATGTGGTTGAACATTTGACATAGGTGGTAATATGGTTGAACATTTGACATAGGTGGTATTGTGGTTGAACATTTGACATAGGTGTATGTGGTTGAACATTTGACATAGGTGTTTGTGGTTAAACATTTGACATAGGTGGTAATGTGGTTGAACATTTGACATAGGTGGTAATGTGGTTGAACATTTGACATAGGTGGTAATGTGGTTGAACATTTGACATAGGAGGTAATGTGGTTGAACATTTGACATAGGTGGTAATATGGCTGAACATTTGACATAGGTGTATGTGGTTAAACATTTGACATAGGAGGTAATGTGGTTGAACATTTGACATAGGAGGTAATGTGGTTGAACATTTGACATAGGTGGTAATGTGGTTAAACATTTGACATAGGTGTATGTGGTTAAACATTTGGCATAGGTGTATGTGGTTAAACATTTGGCATAGGTGGTAATGTGGTTAAACATTTGGCATAGGTGTATGTGGTTAAACATTTGACATAGGTGTATGTGGTTAAACATTTGACATAGGTGGTAATGTGATTGAACATTTGATATAGGTGGTAATGTGGTTAAACATTTGACATAGGTGGTAATGTGGTTAAACATTTGATATAGGTGGTAACGTGGTTGAACATTTGGCATAGGTGGTAATGTGGTTAAACATTTGACACAGGTGGTAATGTGGTTAAACAT